GCAATTGGCACAGGATAGAGCAGAGCTTAGGGCTATTGTACATAGGGTCTCTATAAGTCCTAAGTGACTCAATAGCACATAACAACAACAACAACAGTGTAAATGAGTTATGGGATTCTAATCCACCAGCTGCTCCATGGGAGAAGGATGTTCAAGCACCTACTGAGAGGCTTGTTGTTGTGTACTGGAGAGTTGGAACTGACCCGTAACTGACCCTCTGGCGGGTTTTCAGAGGCAGTTAATCAGACATGAGAAAACTGTCCATCCTTCTGACCGAGCGGCTTACTGTCTCTAAAATCCTGCTAGAGGATCAGCTAGACTTTGGTTCAGATTCATCACACCACAGTGCTAAATGGAATGGGCTAAAACCATACTTCTCTATCTTTTCACCACTTGCTACTAATTTCTGCAATGGATGAGTTGAGATGACTCTAAGTGAACCAACACACACACAACATCAAGTTAGCAAAACAAGTGAAAGGGCTTTTTTAAAAGAGACAAAACAGAGACATAGTTAGTGAAAGGTAGTGGTGGGCCAGGCCAAAGAGTTCAAGTGGAAAAAAAGTGGGAAGGGAGAAGGTGGAAGGCTCCCCCGGAGAGATGGGGATGAAGCCAAACCTTAGGACAAGTTGCCAGCAGAACCAGAACAACCAAATAGCACCCCCAAATGAGCACTGCTTGTAATGGTTCCCAGTCTCCCGATACTGGTCACAGCCTTACCTAGGGACCTGTGGTTGTGGTTTGGTCCCCTGTATGCCTGAGGAGGGGGTTTCTTCCCAGTGTAAACCCCTTTTTGGCTCCTACCAGAAGTACTGTCATTTTGGTGCAACTGTTTTGCATTCCCTCCTATTTCCTCTGAAAAACTGTTTTTAGCCCCCTGCCATGAGACGGGGGATGAGCTGGAGAAAGAGAGACCGAACAGGTAGCAATTCTATCCCTTAACACTAAAGGGATAACGTTTTGGGTTTAAAAAGGTATAAAGGGTTGTGTTTGGGAGAATTCCTGGTTTCCTGGGCTCCAGGCATGCTCTGGGTGGGGATGGGAAGTCCTCCCAGCACTCTGTCTCCCTGCCTGATGGGGGCCCCCTGCACACTTCACACCTCCTGTTTCCCACAGGAATGTAATAACCCGTGCTGCAATGCTTCCAACTGTACACTGAAGGAAGGGGCAGAGTGTGCCCATGGTGCCTGCTGTCACCATTGTAAGGTAAGGCCCTGCCCTGCTGTGTGTAGAATGAGAGTGAGTGGGTGGTGGGAGGGATGATGGCCAAGGCCAGCAACTATCCTGCCAGGAAGATAGTATTCAAGTTTTAGAAACTTGGAAATGAAAAAGGCCTGCCTATGAGCTAAGTTTATTGACCCCTGACCTGTACCACTGTGGAGTCCCTGGGTGGTACAAGTGGTTAACATGCTTTGCTGCTAACCAGAGGTGCCTTGGAAGAAAGTTTGGTGATCTACTTCCAAAACTAGCGAGGGGAAACTGGTGCACAATTCTCCTCTGAAGCAGATGGGGTCACCAGGAGTCAAGATGGACTTGGCAGCCATTAATTTGATTTTTGGTTTCTACTTGACCTCACTGGGTTTAAATCATCTAAGAAGGTGGTGTTTTCTGGGAGATGGGAGTTTAGTTTTGTTTTTTAAAAGTGTCCAGAGTGGGTAGGCTTGATTTTTACTTGGATCTAATAACAACAATAATAATCACAATTTTGGTAAACATTAATGGACCACTGATTCGAAGCTAGGCTGAACATTTTATACACATCCCCTAATCCCCACAGAAGCTCCATGAATTATATATTATTGTTTTCATTTTATGATGAGGAAACTGGGCTTGCGAAGGAATAAATATCTTACCCAGGGTCCTACAGCCAGGAGGGGACTGACCTCAAGTTTTCCTGATTAAAAAATCCACTCTCTTAATATTGATCTAGAAGAAAATAGTATATTAATACTAGGGGTAGTCCTTAGGGAGTTGTACTACCTACCCAAATTTGGCATCTCTCTGGGAATTTGAATCCACCAGTGGGTCCAACGGAAAAAGATGGATAGGCTTCTCCCATGCAATTTACAGCCTCCTGAAAAGCCACGAGATGGTCAGCCATGAATCAGTTCAGATTTGAAGGCAATAAGTGCAAGTGTGTGACTAGTTTTACACTATTATAAGTCCACAATCTCTTATCTAAAGTGCTAAAACTAAAAACTTATAAACCAAAAAAAAAAAATTAAAATTCATTTTTGTGGTAAAACTTGACCTTGACTAATGTAAAGCTAGTCACAGTCTTTCTAACATATTACACTTAAAATGTTTTATTGAAAAAATATTAATGTGTTTATGATTAGAAAGTGCCATCTCAGCCCTTACATTCATGGGGGGAGGTGCTACATAATGAAGTCAGTTCTCGATTTACGACCTATTTGAGTTATGACGAACTGCACTTAAACTGTCAGTCTATCTGGAACATTGCATCTTCCTGGGAGGAATCAGGGGGAAATGCATGCAGAGAACACGAGAAAAAAATTGCTACATTATATGGACGTGCTCCACGTGTTTGATCAGGATGGAAGAGATCGCTGGGGAAATCGTCCATCTGGTAAGAATGCTGAATTTAGAACATGATGTTGCTGTTATGGAGCTGCTGAGAGAGAACGAAGAAGAGGGGTTTGACAGACTGGGACCTAAGGAATTCTTAAGAGAAAAGCATTGCAGTTTATGAAATAAATAATAAGGAAGAAGGGGAAAAAGAGCTGTAAAAAAATTGTGATAAAAGGATTACCAGAAATAAGGTTTTTTCTAAACAAAATTGAGGGCTTCCATTGCTTAAAAAAATTAACTCAAACATCAGTTCCTTTGCTAAAATGACAAATTTGAAGATTGAAATGTTAGCACAAAATGTATGAAGAGAAAAGGAAAAGGACCATAGAGAGACAGTTCTCACTAATTTTCTGATAGAAACATCATCTTCACTTAGTGGGATAATCTAGATGATCCAGAACCTTCCGCAAGTAGTGGTACTATGACAGCTCGTTCAACTCTTCTTTATCATTGGAGGAGATGTTTGTGATTTGTCGAACCTTTTTGTAGAAACGTGTATATATTAAAATGTATTTGTAAAATTATATATATTATTTCCAACCCCTGTAGATAAACAAAAATCAGATTTGTAAAAGATGCTGATTAAAATACCAATAATAAAAACTTAAGGAAAACGAGATATTTAATTTGCTTAATTCAAATCAGCTTTACAACAGAGTTGTCAAAAGGAACGCCCATTGCAAGTCTAGGACTACCTATAATTAAGTAATGTTATATAATACATTCTCAGTGTTCGCCATGGTTTATTGTGATTCACACAGTTGGATACCTGTGCAGAGTTGATAAAACACAAGTAGATATCCTTCTGGCACTTTGCTTTCAGCCAAGATCAATCTGACATCAGCATGATATCCTTCGTGCCACTACCTCTTCTAAATCAAGCTGGTATTTCTAGCATTTCTCTGTCAATGGACTGTTCTAGCCATTTGGGGATAGTCTTCAGCAGGGTTTGCTTACATATGATATTGTTCAATAATTTCCACATTTTGTTGGACCACTATTCTTGGAAATGGGAATATATATGAATCTCTTCCATTCAGTTGACCTGGTATCTGACCTTCAGATATCTTGGTATAGATTATGAACACATTCAGGGTTGCATCTGTTGAAATGTGTCAAATGGTGTTCCTTCAATTCCTGGAGCCTTATTTTTCTGTTAATGCCTTCAGAACATCTTGAAATTCTCCCTTTATTACCATTGGTTCTCAATACTGTGCTACTTTCTGAAATGGTTCTGTGTCGACAAATTCTTTCTGGTACAGGGACTCTGGGTATTCCTTCCATCTTCTTTTGATGCTTCTTGGATCATTCAAGATTTTATCTGAAGTCTCTTTTAGTATTGCAACTCTTGACTTGAATTTGTTTTTCTCTTCTCTCCGGCTGAATGAGTTCTTCCCTTTGATTTTCTAACTCCAGCTCTTTGTATATTCCATTATAATATGCTTTGTCTTCTTAAGCTGATTTTTAAAAAAAAAAAATTCTGTTCAACTCTTTTATTTCATCATTTCTTCCCTTTGTTTTGACTTCTGGGCATTCTAGCATAATTTTCAGACTGTCTTTGAACACCTATTTGAACTTTTCCTTCTCCTCTATCTTTGTAGTGACATTTTGCTTTCTTCATGGATTATATCTTTGATATCATCCCACAGCTTATCTGGTCTTTGATCATTTGGGTGCAATGCCTCAAACCTGTTCTTGAGATACTTTTAAAATTCAGGTGGAATGGAATGAAGATTTTGTGTTTTATCGACTGTGCAAAGGCATTTGACTGTATGGATCACAACAAATTCTGACTACAATTGAGGAGAATTGGAAATCCCAGAACCATTGGTTGTGCTCATGTGAAACCTATGTACCTAGTCCAAGAAGCTATTGTTTGAACAGACCATGTGTGCCGGGGCTGTATCCTTTCTTCATATTCATTCAATCTGTATGCTGAGAAAAATCATTAGAGAAGCAAGATTTTACGAAAAAGAGTGTGGCATCAAGATTGGAGGAAAACTCATCAACAACCTGCATTATGTAGATGACACAACCTTGCTTGCAGAAAGTGAGGAAGCCTTGAAGCACTTGCTGTAGAAGATCAAACACTACAAACTTCAATAGAGATTGCATCTCAACATCAAGGAAAAAAATCCTCACAACTGGGCTAATATCATGATAGATGGAGAAAGGATTGAGATGGTTAAGGATTTCATCTTACTTGGCGTCACAGTCAACACTCTTAGCACAGCAGTCAGAAAATTTAAAACAAACAAACAAACAAAAAACCAACAACAGCAAAAAAAGCAAACCCAAGTTGCATTGGGAAAATCTGCTACCAAAGACTTCCAGAATGCTAAGGAGCAATGATGTCAGTCTAATGACTTAAGTGTGCCTGATCCAAGCTATGATCTTTTCAATTGCTTGCTATGCATCTCAGAGCTGGTCAATGACTATGGATGACAGGGAAAAAAATTATACCTTTGAGTTGTGATGCTGGAGATGAATATCCTATGGGCTACCAAGAGTACCAACAGGTCTGTCCTGAAGAAAGCAAGACCAGGGTTGTCCTTGGAGGCAAGGAGGGTGAATTCCATCTCACATGATTTGGGCATGTTATTAGAAGAAGCCAGTCCTCAGAAAAGGATATCAAACTGAAAGGTAGAGGATCAGTGCAAGAGAGGAAGACCCTTGATGAAAGGGACTGACAATGACTATAGCAGTAGAGTTAAGTGTGTCAGATATGATGAAGACGGCACAGGATACAACAGGGTTCAGATCTGTTGTTTGTAGGATTGCCTTAAGTTGTATATGACTCAGCAGCACCTAACAACAACAATAAGAACCTCATTTATTTCTTAAAAGAGCTTCAGGAAAGGATTTTCCTCCTGAACGGATGAGGACATTGAGGTGCAGAGCAGTTAAACAGCTGTCAGGGCCCCACTGCTAGCTAAGGAGCACAGCAGAGATTAGGACCAAGGCAGACTGATTCCTGGCTGTGTCCTCTTCCCTCCACACTGATCCTGCAAAGCAGCTGACTCCTCCACACACTGCCTCACACACCATAGGAACCAATTCTTTCAGCAGGCTGCTGGGCTGACAGAGCTCTCCATGCCTCTTCTGGGAAGACTTGGGGGCTGTGTGGAGTCACTAGGGGAGGAGGTTGCTCGTCTTCCTTTCTTGAGTCAGGGAACTCCCTTGGCTCAGGCTAGACCTAGGATTTCCTTAGGGATATTGTGCTTGACCGAGTCATTTTGTCTCAGATGAAGGCCTGAATGTCTCACTCAGTCCCAGGATTTCAGAATTGAGACTCCATCTCACACCATAGCTATGTAACTGTGGGCCCCCTATTAACCATTCAGAGTCCAAGTTCTTTTTTTATAAAGGTAGTGCAGTTGTTAAGTATGTAGTTACATTCTTTCTTGATTTTTTTAAAGAATTGACAATCTGTAAAGATTATTACTGTATTCATTGCTTTCAAGTCAGAACTAACTCATAGCTGACCCTCCAACAGACTGTCAGAGGCTGTAAATTCCATGGGAGGAGATTGTCCATCAGTCTTTCACAGAAGAGTTGGTGGACTCAAATTCTCGACCTTTGGGTTGGCGGTGCAATTCCTTATCCACTGGTCGTTCAGAGCTCCTAGTCAATAATGTAACAAATACAGACTAGGAAACACTCTGTCATATAGAGGTATTATAACAAGTCCAAACAGCATTAATGAATGGCAGAACAGCTGTAAGACTCAAGCAAAAATATAGACTTTTCATTTCCCAAGAGGTAGTATTGATCAGTTTATTGCAAATTGGCGGGAATAACAGTTATCTCTCTCATGAAGTGTGAGAGTCACATGCTATCAGCTCTTGGCTCAAAAATAAGAGTGTCTTACTGCTAAAGTTTTTTACAAATGAAAATGTATATGAACACTAGTCTAATGTGTATGTGTGCACATGAGGTTTATTAGATAGTCAGAGGTGAATGTGTAAGACTCTTAACAAAATGGAATGACCCCATGACTTGCAACAACAAATTCGAGCATAGTAGAGACGTAAGGATGACACAGACAGGGCAAACTTTGTCTCTGTTGTTCTTAGGGTCTCTGTGGGTCAGAGTCAGCTCTAACACACCTAAAAACACTCACAAACAGCTGTGTGTGTTTGCACAGGTGTATTTATGTTATAATTATATTATAATGAACCGGTTCTGCTACTTATTAGACATAAGGTGTGGTTACACTTCTTAAACTTTTTGAACCTCAGTTTTTATCATCTGTAAAATGGGAGTTATAAGACCATTGTGGAAAACAAAATGCTATTTGTACTGGGCGCTTTCTTTGTGGCCACTTAAATGCTGTGCCCAGCATTTAGGACACTGATAATTATTGCCTAAATGTAATTTCTTAACCACCTTTAAGAATGCTAGGAACAGGAAATGAGTTAGCGTTAGTAACTAGAAAGTATTATGAAACATTAGAAAGCTGGTGACGGTTTGAGCTCGTAAGGTCACGTAGGAAGGTGGTGTGAAAAAATGGGAATAGGAAGTATTCTTCCACGAGAATCCTGGGGCACAGGTGAAGGATTAACCGCTCCTCTTCCCTGCCTTCCTCACTCAGCTGCTGGCCCCTGGTACCCTGTGTCGTGAGCAGGCTCGCCAGTGTGACCTCCCGGAGTTCTGCACCGGCAAGTCTCCCCACTGCCCCACCAACTTCTACCAGATGGACGGCACTCCCTGTGAAGGTGGTGATGCGTACTGTTACAACGGCATGTGCCTCACCTACAAGGATCAGTGCCAGCAGCTATGGGGCCCTGGTAAGGGGTGCTCTCCTGGGGTGAATGGACACCTCTTCCCTCCTCACAAATTCTGCACCTGCCTCTTCTCCTCAAGAACTTGAGCCAGCTTAGAATCAGGACTTCAACATGGTGCTTCCAAATAATGACCTTGGCCATCTCCTAGATTCATGGAGAGTGTTCTTTCCAGTTCTTTGATGCTTTACCTTCTGAGTAAAGAGATTGGTAAGGATAATCCAACAGCAAAATCGACAGAGAGTTGAGGCAAAAGTAGAAATACAAATGGCCTTTTAGCTGGGAAAAAGTATTTGACCTTGCTACTCTGAGATGTCAGACTGGCAAACATTTGATAATGTGGTAATTGTGATAGTACAGGGTGGTAGCAAAACACACAGGGACAACCCATATGGAGATCAAAATTGTAAGGCATGTATCATTAGACCCATCCAGTTCCACTACTTTGGGTTGTATCCTATGCTTTTACTTGCATCTGTATTGGACTAAATTCTTATTCATTTCTGTTGCTTCAGAACATAAGTAAATGGGTTTTAAGAAGCTTTAAATAACACAGGAGATTGCACATCTTTCTCTTCTGGAGTAGCTGGTGGATTTGAACTGACTGCCTTTGGGTTGGTGGTGCAACTCCTTAATCTCTTGGCCACCAGACCTCTCTCATATATGTGAAGATGTATTTAGAAGGATGTTCACTGTAGTGCTGTTGATTTTAATGAAACGACCTATATGCCCTTCAGTGGAGGATGGATTAAATTACATGGTGCTTCCATGCAGTAGAATGTTATGTTACTACAAGAAGAAGGCGGAGGCTTTGCAAGAACAGAATAAAGTTGTCTCCCATAATACACTGTGAAGTGAAAATTGCCAAATGGAAAACAATGGATAGAATATGTTCCCACTCTTTGTTAGATTAGTTTATGCAAAGAAAGGTTAATAGTAGTTATTTCTTCAAGGTGTAGAGCAGTAGGAACTGGATGTTTTGGAAGGCTAACTCCAAAGACATACTTTGTATCTTTAAAATTTTGTACATATATTACTTTTTAAAAAAAAATAATTCTGAAATGAAGTCAAGACTTCTTGTGGTGTCTTTGTCTGACTTTGGTGTCAGGGTGATGCTAGCTAACCTTATAGAAAGAATTTAGAATTGTTCCTTCTTCTGCTGTCTTTTAGAAAAGTTTAAGAAACATTGAAGTCACTTGTTTTAGAAATGTTTGGTAGAATTCCCTAGTGGAGCCAGCTAGTCTAAGACTTTTCTTTGTTGTGTAGTTTCTTATTCCTGATTGAGTCTTTCCATTTGTTATATGTCTTACTGTCTCCTCTTGAGTCACTGAAGAAATTTTGTGTGTTTCTGGGAACGTGCCCATTTCCTCTAAGTTATCTAATTTGTTGGCCTATAATTGCTCATTATATTCTCTTATTCAAGTATTCCTATGTATGTAGGGTTTATTCTGATGTCCAAATCTTCATTCGAGAGGTTTATAATGTATTCCATCCACAGATGTGAATCTTCTTATAAAATATAAAGTGCTGATAAAAACCTTGTTTCCATAAATAGGTTTTGATAGGCAGGTGGGTTGGAGTAACCTGATGAGAAACAGGAAGAAAAGGTTGAGCGTTCTCCTCTTCCCTCAAGAAACTTTGCTAACTTTCTTGTTTTACCCATAGTTTAATACAGTTGGCCCTATGAGGGACTTTGAATTCAAATGAAGTTAGCTGAACTGCTTCATAAATGCTGTTTATTTGCCACCCAGGAGCCCGACCTGCCCCTGATCTCTGCTTCGAGAAGGTGAATGTGGCAGGAGACACCTTTGGAAACTGTGGAAAAGACATTAATGGTGAACACAGGAAGTGCAACATGAGGTGATGACCATATGACAGACTTGTGAGATGAGGGGTGTCACAGAGTGGTTTCTCATCTACCCTCCTCACGCCTGCTCAGCTCAGTAGCTTGGCTGGTCGGGTGCTGGATCTATAAATACTTCAGCCTAAGTTAATCACCCTTTCCAGGCCTGATATTGGACAATGTGCCATTCAGCTCTAAGGAAGTGGGGGGAAGAATGTGGGTGGCAATGCTTCCTAGAAAGCTGGTCAGCTTCTCTTTTTGACATTTTTACAGTATGGGGAGGAATTGGCCCTCAATTTTTCAGGGTGCTAACTATGCCCTCATGAATAGCCTGAATCATTGATTTATTTGTTGGTTCAACCATAAGTTTATTCATCCAAACTTTAGCTATGAAGATCCTGTGCTGATTGCTGGGTGGGCAGGACAGTAGAGATCAAGACTTATTTCTTCATAAAATTAACACACAGTTAACAATGTAGTGTGATAATGGTGGGGGACAGCCACTACATGAATTCCATAGAACTGCTGTAACAAGTTACCATTAACTACATGGCTTAAAATAATAGAAATGTACTTTCAGAGGCTATAAAGTATAGTTTATATATCAGTAGGACTGTGCTGTCTTCAAAGGCTGCAGGGGAAGAAAAATCCTGTCTTACATTTCCAGCTTCTGGAACTGCAGTCATTTCTTGGTTCTTAACAGCATAACTCCAATCTCTGCTCAGTTTCCACATGACTGTCTTCCTTTTGGGTCTATCGCTCTGTATTACATCTCCTCTTTTGATAAGGATGCTAGTCATAAAGCTCTGAGGGGACGAAGGTAGGATTGAAGGATTATTGGAGGTGAGAATTACAGGGACGAAGTGGGATACGTGCAATTAAATTGTTAAGTGTCTAGCTAATGTTATGGAATAAGATTTGTACTAAATGAATGAAACTGTATTTGAATGAGTAAATGAGCCAGTAACACATTTTGTAAACATCCACTCAAATAATGACTGGGGGTGAACCCCCACATTCTCATTCACAGTCCACCCCACTTCTTTGTTAACTAATTACATCTGCAGAGATTCTGTTTCCAAGTAAGGTCATATTACTGGTCCAGTAGAGCCTGGTGGAACCCCTAAAATCATGGAGCTTAATTATCATCTCTTGAACCTAGAAGAAAACTCACCCCAATGGTTCAATTTTAGCCAAACAATACTCAGACCTATAAGGTGCCCACTCCTTCTTGATGCCACTTCTTTAGAACAGCCAAACGATATGGGGCCAAAAAGAGCAGTATCTCCTCCAGAATAAAGTCCTAAATGGATAAAGGTAGGAAAGAAGGATTAACAGAGATGGGAATTACAGGGAAGAAGTTGGAAAAGTGCAATTGCAACGTTATGGAATAAAATGTTGGAATGTAAAGCCAATACATTTTATAAACGTTTACTCTAACAACAATAACAAAATAAGGTCACATTCACAGGTACTGGAGATTAGATATTTGTCATATCTTCTGTCGGGCCTTGAATTAATCAATAACAGCCACCAAACCCAATCTTGATGGATCAGGCATAGTTTTTCAAAGGAAGTAGTGCCTAGACTGAGATCTGGGGGAATTGTGTAGGTGACAGGGTAGAATGTTCATGACAGATAAAGATGAGTACGATAAGGTAGAAGAAGAACTGATAGTTGGAAGATAACAGTTTGGTACAGTTAAGTTCTACCAATGGGATTCGGTGAAGAAGGACTTACTGAGAAGTGAGTCTAGATAATTAAGTGGGAAGTAGATCATTGTAGAATACACAGATTGGGAAGTCTGGGCTTTGTCATGAGACTCTAATGGAGTGAGTGGCTCCTGTGTAGGTTTATACTCGACTACCCACCTAAAGGGGAATAGGGCTAACCGACCCTGCAGTGCAGTGGAATAAAAGCCTTCCAGGAAAGCTTGCAGCCCAGAAAGTACTACCGATCAGTTCTCCTCTGTGACACAAGGGGTGGCCATGGATCAGAATTGACTTGATGCTAATGGATTTGGGGTTTGGTTTTGTTTTGCGGATAAGGCTGGTGGCAGGTAGATCACCTCCGTGCAGTTTAGGTAACAGAACAGTTGTATGAGTTAGGGGCATTACATGAAAGGGAGTGTTACAGGGCCTGAAAACTGCTTGAAGCTAAGGACATGGCACTAAAGAGGGCTCCAGGCTTCTGACTGGAACATCCATCTGGCAGGCACGTTGCCCACGTCAGGCCTTTGTAGAGAAGAAGACCTTCCAAGGCTAGTTCTCTGGCCTAGATATGCTTAGGGGAGGGACCCCTATTCCCTTCTATGGTCTTAGTCTGCATAGAGCTTTCCCTGGTGAGTCCTTAAAGCAGACTCACTGTCCTGATCTTTGCCTGTCCCCCTCAAGCCCACCGTCATGCCCCAGCATAGCTGAAGCAAGATATGGTGCCTCATCTCTCCTTGCCACTGATTCCATCTCCTTCCTTCTCTCTCTTCTTGCCCCAGGGATGCCAAATGTGGAAAGATCCAGTGTCAGAGTCCCGAGGCCCGGCCCCTGGAGTCCAACGCAGTGTCCATTGACACCACCATCTTCATAAACGGGCAGAGTATCAAATGTAGGGGCACCCACGTCTACCGAGGTCCTGAGGAGGAGGGTGACATGCTGGATCCAGGCCTGGTGATGACCGGCACCAAGTGTGGCAACAACCACGTGAGTCCCTCCACATGCCTTGCCAGGGCTGAGCCTCATGGGGGAGAACTAAGATGTGTGGGGTACGGAAAGAAGGTTGTTGTTATATGCTGTCAAGTATCCTGAGATTCTTAGTGACCCTATGTAGAACAGCTCTAAACCCTGCTCTATCCTGTGCCAATCTTATTGTCTCCAACACACCTATCCCCATTACCCCAATCACTGAATCAATCCATCTCATCTAAGGTCTTCCTCTCTTGCGCTGTCCCTCCACCCTTCCAAGCATGATGTCCCTCTCCAAGGACTGGTCCCTCTTTGCAACATGCTCAGAGTATGTCAGGTGAAGCTTCAGAATCCTTGCCTCCAAGGAGCAGCCTGGTCTCACCCCTCTAGTAATAATGTGTTCTCCCAGCATTCCATGGTATATCCAATACTCTTCTCCAGCACCACAGCTCAAAGGCACTGGGGTTCAAATCTCAATTGTGAGCATTAAATAAAAATATCTATATGAAGCAACAGGAAGCACTGGTGGCCTAGTGGCAAGAAGCTGCACTGCAATCCCTAAGGCACATGGTTCTAATCCACCAGCTGCTCCATGGCCGAAGGATGGGTAATCTCTTCCCATTCGATTAGCTGCATCTGAAAACTCATCTGGTGGTTCAGCTACGGGTGGGTTCTGAGTCGACGGCACACAACAACAACATATGAAGCACCTGGTATGGTAGGTGGCACAGAATTGGCTGCTGCCATCATCATACCTTTTCTAATAATAGTAAATTTTTTCATTCTTATGTACCATCAAGTTAGAATAAACTCATAGCTAGCCCTTCAGTGGGTTTTTAGCGGCAATAAATCACATGGGAGGAGACTGCCCATCTTTCTGCCATGGAGCAGCTGGTAGATTTGAAGTGCATGCCTTTGGGAAGGCAGCACAGTTCTTTACCATTAAGCCACCACATTTCCCTATATATTAAAATTAATACATATCAATATGCCATTGATTTATATATAGTTAGCACCTAGTGCTGTGTAGCATCAAAGCACATTTAGGTTATATAAATATTTTTTTAAATATTTGCTATTTTTCTCCTACTTTTAAAAGTAATACCAGAATTTAGGTAACTATCTAGTTCGTGGATTTTCATGCTCTTTTAACTCTGAAAGATACCCTGAGCTGGGCTTTTCCAGCCCTCACATGCTCTAAGTCTAAAACCCGGGTCTCTGAGTCCCAGCCAGCGGTCCAGCATTGTACTGACAGCTTGCCTTCCTCCTCACTGCAGATTTGTTTTGAGGGACAGTGCAGGAATACCTCCTTCTTTGAAAGTGAAGGCTGTGGGAAGAAGTGCAATGGCAACGGGGTGAGTATGGCCAGGTTCTGGTGGTTTCTGCAGAGGTGGAGGGGGGAACAGTCCTGAGGGGGACCAGGATTCCCACAGGTGCGAGACAGTGCTGACCCTGCCCTCTCCCCCGACTCTAGGTCTGCAACAACAACAAGAATTGCCACTGCTTCCGGGGCTGGGCTCCACCCTTCTGCACAAAACCCGGCGAGGGGGGCAGCATCGACAGTGGACCCATGCCCACTGAGAGTGAGTGCTGGCTCCTGCCCACCCTCCTGTGGGTCTTTGTGTGGTGCTGGAGGGCCAGACAGCATGCATAGCGTTCATGTCGAGTTTGGGCATGAGAGAGGGGATTGGGCAGCCTGCTGTGGAGACTCTCCACTAAGTCATTTCCCTCTACTTCCCACTGTTCTTCTCTTTAATTAAATATTCTTGGCTGGAGAAGCTATGCTATGAGGTCTGCACAAAGCAAGTTATCTTGGCCATTTAAACAGACACTACCAGTATCCCATTGGTTGTTATTGCATGCTTTTTCTTTAACAGTTCAAATAATGCAAATTCAATGTAAATCAAATATCTGAAACGGAATCAGAGATACATTGTTTGAACTTGGTTGCTTTATCCCAAAGGGTTCCGAAAGCTCTCGTTTGGGAGAATTCCTTAGCCAGTGTCCTGCTTGTTTCTGGCAGGTGCTGTTCCTGTGGTAGCTGGAGTGGTGGGAGCCATCCTGGCAGTGGTGGTCCTGGTGCTGATGTACTGCTACTTCAGACCCAACAGCAAACTGGGTCAGCTCAAGCCTTCCACCCTCCCATTCAAGCTGAGGCAACACTTCAGGTAGGACAGAGTGTTGTGAAGGAATGGGGACCACTTCTGGATCGTAAGGGGAAGCTTTGGAGGTGTAGCACATTACCTGTTGGGCTTCTAACTGAAAGATCAGCAGTTCAAGCCCACAAGATTCTTCATGGGACACTATGGGCAAACTCCTCTCATAAAAAATTACCACCTCAGAAACCTGATGGAGTGTCTCTGTAAGTCAGGATCTATTCATAGAAAGTGAATTTGACTTGATGTTATAGATCATTAAACTCCATTAGCAGTTATAGATGAAAGAATTGGAGAGAGTAGGTCTAATTCAGGAAAAGCAAATGAAAAATCCACACTGTCTCCTTTTCTGCCTTGTTTCACGGCCAGAGTGGACATTACCAGCTGCATGGCCAGGGTGAATACATCCAGCTGATATTTTTAAAATGTATTTATTATGGTGATTTTGAGAATATCACAGCAAAATACACAGTAACATTTTCTACATATACAATTCAATGACACTGATTTCATTCTCCCAGTTGCACAGACATTCCCTCCTGCCTTTTCTAAGTTACTCCTCATTGCCCCAATCAAAATTTCTATCTAATCTTCATGGCTCCTATTGTCACACAGATCACATACATATCATTCTTAAAAGATGCTCAAGGCAGATAAATTTTTTCCCAAGGCAGATATTTTTCACTAGTTAAATTATTTCTTATATTAAGATGCATTCAGGGAATCTTTTTAAGTTTGAAAGAACATCAAAGAGCGATAAGGAGTTCATCCACCCCCGTCACCCCATCCCATGGCTCCAGAAAGTCAGGAGTTGATGAAAAGTTTAAATTCTGTGCTGTGTTTTCCTCTTTTTGGCTAGGATTATTCTATGGGATCTTTGATGAAAATGTTCAGCAGTGGTAGCTGGGAATAGTAGATATTTACTATAATTAGTGCTCTAAACCCAAAGGTGGGCTGTTAGAATCCACCAGCTGCTCTGCAGGAGAAAGATAGATAGTCTCCTCCAGTGCAATTTACAGCCTCTAAAACCTGCTGGAGGGTCAGCTATGAGACATTTCTGATTCAGTGGCACACAACAATAACAACAAGAAACCAATCTTCCTACTGAGCCTGGTCATTCTTCAGGAGCCTTCTCTGCAGAATTCTCTTAACAAGTTCAAGTTGGAATAATCTCTTTGCTGTCTTTTATATATTTGATTTATTCCCCATTTTAAAGAGTAGGAAACCAGGTCAGCCCCAAAATTTCCCAAGGCAGTTCACAGTGATGGCTGGACAAAAATTAGTTGAAGACAAAATCTAACTTTTAAAACACTGATTCATTCCTTTGGCTATTAAGGGTGTATGTAGTCTCCACATGTCATGTACTTGCTCTGGAAGGAATTTTAAATCCTATTCTGGATTTAACCCTGAGGGCATTGGTTGCTGACTGTTAACATCACTGGCATTGATGGTCAGTGTCTTCCTAGTGGAGAAAGGTTTTAAAGGGTGAAGGGAAGGTACTGAGGAAATCCTGCTTTGTTTTGGGCCAAGCCTCTTCTTTGGGAGTTGTCAGTTGGCCACACCTAAGAAATTGACCTTTCAACAAGATTGATGCCCACCCCCTCCAGACTTGGACAGACAGTGACGTATTTTGTGGAAAATATGGCTACTCCATTGCTATGCTTGGGCTAGAGTGAGTGCAGTCACCTACCCTTTCTGAGTAGCTTCCATTTCCTTCTACCCTTAACCTCAATTTCTTTTTTAAAAAATTATTATTACTTTTAATGAAAATTTACAGAGACTTTGGATTTCCATTCATTCATTATTACAATTTTCTCCCTGCCCCTTATCCCCCGGTACACTTTTCTCTTTAAAAAGTAAAAGAAAAAAATTTTTCATTGTTTTACAATCCCTCCCCCCAGGTCCACTCCACTATGCAGCCTTTGCTCTGAAATCCTGTCATGACAATAATACCTAATCACATATCCCTTTTAAACAGGTTTTTTCCCCTCATCTGTGCCAATGCAGGATACATTATTGAACTCATCTCTCTCAGTCTCCCCGCAACCTCGATATCAGCGTGTTTTACAACAGTAGCACTATGCAGTATTTGTCCTTTTGTGACTGAGATATTTCATCCAGCATAATGTCCTCCAGTGTCACCCATTTTGAATATTATTTCATGAGTTCCTTGTTTTTCAATGCAGTGTAGTATTCCATTGTGTGAATATGCCACAGCTTCTCAATCCATTCATTTGTTGATGGGCACTTAGGTTGTTTCCAGCTCCTTGTTATTGTGAACAAAGCCACAATAATCATGGGTGTGCATATATTTGCTTGGGTGGTAGTTATGGTCTCTTCGGGGTATGTTACCAGTAGTGGAATTGCTGGGTCAAATGGTATCTCTATTTGCAAATTTTTGAGAAAGCGCCACACCACCTTCCACAGTGGTTGCACCCTTTTACACTTCCACCAACAGTGAAGTTCCAATTTCTCCACAACCTTGCCAGCATTTGTTGCTTGCTGTTCTGTTAAATTTTGCTATTCTTACTGGGGTGAGATGATATCTCATAGTTGTTTTTAACTTCAATTTTTTTATTTCTAGTTGTCCTTTCCGGGTGTCTCAGAACAGCGGAACTGGCCATGCCAACCCAACCTTCAAACTGCAGACACCCCAGGGGAAGCGGAAGGTAAGGGCATATTGCGCTATGAACATTGCTGCTTTCTCCTTATCTCTCCAGATCCTACTGGGTTTTTCTAGGAGCTTCTAGAGTCCCGTGGGATTGCTAATCAACATTATTTTATAATTGAGAGACATGTCGGTGGGTTCTGATATCCCTTCATGACCTTGAAGGTTGAATCTGACCTCTTGAATATTCTAAAGATTTAATAGGCAATCCTGTCTTACCCTGTAGTAATTTTCATTTTTTAATTTTTATTGTGATTTTTAATGAAAGTTTACAGAAAAGTTTGATTTTCATTCATTTTCCTCTCTCCCACTCCTTCCCCCTCTCCCAGTTCACTTTCATTTTTTTAAATAATATTCATTCATTGTTACACAATTTCCTCCTTCCCTCCTCCTTTTCCCCCTCCCCCAGTCCACTTTGCAATGTACCTCTTATTCTGGACCATTGTCTTATGTATACTACCAAACTATCTTTTAAATAGTTCTTTCCTACATCTGTTCCAATGCAGTGTTCATTATCTATCCCCTCTTTTCCTAGTTTCCCCCAAGCCCACATGTCAGTCCTATTTTATAACAATGGTGTTATGCAGTTATTTGTCTTTTATGACTGTGATATTTTACACAGCATAATGTTCTCCAGGGTCACCCATGTTTGTAATGTTTTACAAGCTCCTTGTTTCTCAGTGCTCTGTAGTATTCCATTGTGTGAACGTAAAATAGTTTTTCTACCTATTCAGTTTTTAATTTGTTGATGGGTTTCTTTCATCTCTTTACTGTTGTTAATAATGCAGCAATAAACACGGGTATGCATACATCTGCTTGGGCAGCGGCTCTGGTTTCTTCAGGGTTTATTCCCCTGTGGTCATTCTAATGAGGTGATATACAAAGGAACCCCTGAGTTTTTAAGTTCTTTGAGAGATCTTGCCTCTCATATGTATCTTTTTCTCTGCATACAGATGATCAATACCCCAGAAACCTTTCGGAAACCTTCCCAGCCCCCTCCTCGGCCTCCTCCAGACTACCTACATGGTAACCCCCCACCTGTGTTATTACCAGCACACCTCAGCAAGGCTGATATGAACTCCCCAGCAGCCAGGCCTGAACTAGAGAGAAAAGAGTCATACAGGAGACCTCCCCCAAGCCGGCCAGTGCCCCCCGCACCAAATTACATCCTCTCCCAGGTGAGTTCTCATCCACTCTGCAATGGGCCGTCACTTCGTGATTTTTACATTGGTTTGCATACAAAATTTGTATATATTGTGTTTCGTTCGTGTACTTTGTAGTCATGCATTCCTTTCATTCACGTTGTGTTTCATATGACTATTGCCATACACTGTGTTTTATAAAATTAGTCAACATTGTTTGATCTATGCCCACTATCATTCTGTCTTTTCAGATCCTCACTAGATCTATCCTAATTCTTTCACCCCTTCTCTGCACCCACAAAACTCTATGACCTTGTTATTTCCTCTCCTCCCTATTCTCAGCCCCCTCCTTTCACCCCCTTTGGACTATTATCCACATCTTACTTGTTATGCTTCTATTTTTACAAAAATGGTCTTATACAGTATTTGTCCTTATGAGACTGAGTTAGTTCACTCAGAGTAATGCTCTCTAGCCTCTCCTATGTTCTACATACAGTATTTTACAAAATTATTGCACCTGAGTGCTGCATATTATTGTTTCATTATTTGAATGTGCACAATTTCACAATCCATTCGTTTGTTGATGTTTGTTGTTGTTAGACTATTTCCATATTCTTGCTATTGGGAATAATTATACTATGAACATTGGTGTATAAATCTTCATTTGTATCTCAGTTCTATTTTCCTTGGGCTATATTCCTAGCAGTGGAATAGCTGGGTCACATGGAATTTCTATGTTCAGCTTTTCGAGGAAACACTAAATTGCTTTCTAAAGTGGTTGTGCCATTTTACAATCCCACCAACAGTGTATGAGAGTTGCAATCTCTTCACATCCTTCCCAAAATTTATTGCTTGCTGTCTTGTTAAATTTTGCCAGGGCTTCTGGGGTGAGATGTTATCTCAGTGTGGTTTTGATTTGCATTTGTTTTGATTGCCAATTATTTTGGGCATTTCTTCATGTGTCTGTTGGCCATACAAATGTCTTCCTCTTTGAAAAGTCTCCTTATGTCTTTTGAGCTGGGCCGTCACTTTTAAGTTCACTGGCAATGAGAAATGTCAGTGGCTGGGAGGACAGAACCATTTGGGTTATGCACTGACCTTCCTTATTCTGGTGAATTCAGAGGCATACAGATGTCTAGAGCAATAGCCACGTGGAAATGTGTCCCCTACAGCCCAAGACAGCTCTGGAACCTTGAGAGGAATTGTCTCTGGTTAGCCTGTTTTGTGATAGTTACCTGTTGCCTACTTCCACCCACAGTTAACGTCTTTCAGTTTTCTATGTTTTCTTCCACTCTGTTTTTGCACATGCTGCGGCTTCTGCCTGGAACACTAGTCCCCTTTCTATGACCAGCTTCAGCTCATCCTTAGATCCTTCCTCCAGAGAGCCTCTGTGACCACCCTAAATCTGCATTTGGTGCTCCTATACTTTCTCTGCAGTCAGGGACCACTCCAAATTACTGCAGAGCAATGATGTCAGTTTGAAGACTAAGGTGAGCCTTATTCAGGCCATGGTCTTTTCAGTCACTTGTTATGCATCTGAGAGCTGGACAATGAATAAGGATAACAGGAGGATTGATGCCTTTGAGCGGTGGTGTTGGAGAAGAGTGCAGAATATCCTATGGACTACCAAAAGAACTGAAAATATATGAAAAGTGCTCCTTGGAGGCAAGGATGGTGGAGCTTCATCTCACATTTTTGCATATGTTGTTAGGGGAGGATATTCCTTGGAGAGGGACAGCATGCTTGGAAAGGTGTCAGAGATGATGAGGATGGGACAGGCTCAAATAGGTGTTAGATCTCTTGTTTACAGGGTCACTATGAGTCATACTAGACTAAAGGGCACCCAACAACACACTTCCCCCATCGTAGTACTTATCTGACCAAGTTGCCTCTGTTGAGATAGGTCAAGGAGGTGTGAGTGAGGTCCAGGCTAGTCCTTAGCAGCAATGCTAGCCCCCAGCAGCCTGCAGCCTGTTGACCAGTGCATACATGCTCTGATGGCTCCACCTGGACCCCTGGTGGGATTCCCCCACCCCCACCCCCAGTGCAGACAAATGTGTTTCCACTGTTGGCCAAGCGTAGTGCCTTCCTGAGCTAAGCCTGTGTGTTTTGTTTGGGCCCATCATGTGAAGTTGGGGACTTTTTCAATTTCCTATTAGGTCTGCTCCTTTCCCCTTGGTCCCAGGGCCTCTTCTGAGACCTTGAATATCTCTGACTTAAGCACCGAGGGGCTGGGCATCAGGTTTAGAGACCTAGGGTAGCACCCGAGTTTGGCAGAGCTGAGAACCTCTGGTTTGGTTCTTGTCTCTGATTCCTCTCATCTGAGGTTGGGATGAATGGGGGAAATCTGTGAGGAAGGTAGTGGAATGACTGTCAAGGAGAGAGGAGAGGAAGGGAAAACAGGACAAGAGAAAGACGAAGGAGGAGTAAAAAGAAGAGGAGCTGGTGACCAAGGGGAGAAACCACTGGTGTACGAATGGTGGTCATGGACATCAGGTTCAGGAGGAAGGGAGTGCTCTTATTCCTAAAAAAAAAAAAAAAATTTCCACTTTTAGAGGCTGTGGAAAGAAGACAGGAACAGTCCATCTGGCTCACTCAAATACACTGAGTCCTGGTCAGGAGGGCGGCAGGCGCCTCTGAGCCAGCGCTCCCTCTGGCTGCTGGCATTCAACCACAGCTCACACGTTCTTCTTTCCTGAGACCTGGGACTCAGATAAGATTTAGTCAAGGAACCTGCTCAGAGGGGAGACTCCTCTGACTCCTTCCACACCACCATTGCACATTGTTACCTTCATTTTCTTGACATAATATCTGAGTCTCATAGAGTTAAAAGGACTCACCTGAATTCACATGGGTTTCAAGTGGACATCCAGGACTTGGCCTCATACCTGAATTTCTGTTCTTGGCCACCCTACATGCAGGTCCTGGCTTTCCTTTAGAGACAGAGTCAAGGGACATCACCTTACCCTGGAGGCACTCACAACCTAGAACCTTCCAGAGAATTAGCCAGCCAGATCTTAGCTTCACTTAGAACTGACTGACATGAATTCCCCTAGAAAGGTGGTGGGTGAAGCTTCTTAAACATTTTTACTCTTCCCACAAATATGTATTGAACATCTACTCTATGCCAGGCACTTGATTCTGCTAGGGAAGAGATAAAGATGCATGAGTTACTATAATGATAGGCAGCACGAAGGCTAGTATAACAAGGGACTTGAGCTAACCAGGGAAGTCTGGGAAGGCTTCCTGGAGGAGTTGGTATTCAGCTGAGACATGAAAGGTATGGAGGCATTGTTAACCAGGTTTTGTGCATGAGAAAAAATGACCTGGGCAGAAGAGAGCTTTCTTGGCCCAGGCACCTGCTACTAGACAGGCTGTGAGATGGGAGGTTCAAAGAACTTAAAAGGCCAGTATACCTGGAACCTGTGGAGCCCTGAGGTGAGGCTGGGGAGCTGGCAGGTTCAGATTGTGCCAAGCCTTGTGGTCCTTGAGCAGGATTTGGTCTATAATCCATAGAAGGGGGGATAGTGAACAATGGTGACTGATAAGATTTGTCAGTTCTGAGGCTACTCACTGGGCAAGAGGGAGGTGGAGGGTCCAGGAAGAACCCATGTATGCCTCTGGAACTGCTAACTTTCTGTTTTTAATCTGAGTGGGGACTAAATGAGCATATTCTCTGTGATGATTCATCTAGTTGTGTATTTATGATTTGTTCATTTTTTTCTAAGTGTTTGTTTATTAAATTAAAACAGAGTGAAAGGTTTACTGTAGTGGCGATGTGTTTTAGTCTTCTCAGAAGAAAGGCATGGTATTCTCCTCCAGAGCATCAGCCATTGATAAAACCCTGTGGAGCACATTCCAACTCTGACACACATGAGCTTACCACAGATCAGATTGGCTTCCCACAGCTACTGATTTTAGAGAACAGTTGTAAATGAGGCTGTTGGAGAATGGCTCTGGTGCCTGTGCAGCGAGAGTGATGGGGGTGCCCTCGTTGGGAAGAGGGCGGGGTGCACCCCCTAGGGGAGTCATGTGAGGTACTTGAGGGGCCCAGTGCTGAAGGGCTGATTAAGCTCTTGCACTGAGATGGCATGACCCATCAGCCCACATTCCTCATTTTGCACAGACAACAGCTAATGGAGCACAGCAATTCCAGCTGCACCCTGACATCTGTGCCCAGCTGTTCCTCACTCAGAAGCTCCCCATCCTGGCCTCTGGCAGGTCCAGGCATTGAGGCTGTCCTGAGCTGCCCTGCAAGGAGGCGCTGGAGCTGGAGAACAAAGCTTTTTGATCGCAGAATTTGCTGCTCTTCTAACAGCCTTGGTTTTTGCTCTGTTTTCTGAGGACTGGGAAATATCTGGTGGAAAATCCCAGCGCTCGGACTAACTCCTGTTCTTCCCTCACGCTTGCTGTCTGGCTATTTTATGCTTGTTAGTGACCTTCTTAGAAAGGCGAACAAAAGCAAGGGCAGCAAGCGCTGGAGCTTTCACCTGTGACGTGGGCTTCTCTCCTAAACACCACCACAGTCCATGTTGTGTCAGGAGGCTGCTAATCGAATAGGTCAGTAGTCAGAATCCACCAGGCTTTCCTCCAGAGAAAGATGGGCAGTCTCTTCCCACAGAGATTTACAGCCGGAAACCTGATGGAGGGTTGCTATGACTCAGAATCGACTCCAAGTGGTAGTTGGCTTGGGTTTTGGTTCCTAAACCCCACCAGTTTGTGGACCTGTGGGTTGCACAGTTATTTCTTCTCCTTCCCTCCCCTTAAAGTAATTTCCTTCCCTTCTTATTTTAAGCTTAGGCTGCAGGGAATGATTGAAAACACTCTACCTTGGGGACATAGTTTAGGGATAGTACACAAAAGAAATGCACACTGATTATATGACATTAAACGAGCATAGATATTTATCTACTTATCTTTAATATTGATCATTAGTCTTTAATAATAACCTCTGGAGCACGATTCTACTTTGCCACAGTTCTACTTCTAATTACTTTTTAATTTTGTGTTTATTTGCACAGGCAATGCACATATAT